CGCAAATAGGAGGCGGAAGGGAGTGAGAAAGGCGAGGAGAAAAAGTGCTTGCTGGGGGGGAGGGGGGGCGGCATTTTTGGTGGATGGTATGAAGCCAGCCATGGAAACTGCAGCGGAGGAAAATGCAGAACAAAGCCAAGAGAAAAAAGGTACCCGGGGGTCTAACAATAGCCTGTTTAAATCTTTTCATTCGGGGGCTTAGAGAGGTTCAGGCCAGTTTTGTCACTTTTTCGAATGGCTCTTAAACAATCATTGCTGCATCCTTGGGCTTTCAGCCGTCCTTCCCTGCATGGCTTGACAACGAATTAATAGAGCAGCGATCTTTCTGTCTGTGTCTGTATTTGCTCTGAATCTGTCCTGACCCTAACTGAAATGATGTTTGCAGAAGAAGTCTTGCTATTGCTGTGTCTTTGATGGATTTTGGTAAATTTGGTTTCCAGAGGTAGCGCTTGCCTGTGTGTTTGCATGTCATTTTTAAAGCCAGAAGTTGATGTTTTCATCGAGACTAACCGTGTAGCAAAGCTTTGTGATGCAGTGTGGGAGACCCAGGTTATAACAACATATAATAGATGATAACACCACACAAGCTTTGTGTAGTTAGCTTGGTGCCAAGTGCTGCTCTTAGTTTTAAATGCCTTTTCCTTTCCTCTGGTGTCACCTGGCAAATTTTGCTTGTGTAGAAATCTGCCTGTGCTATGATAATGGGGAATAGTGCAGTGAGTTTCGCAGCCTTAGGTTTCAGGATGTGTTAATCACTGAGAACTGCTGCTTAATGGACAGAACAATTCCATGGTAGCGCTTCTGCAGTAGGGAGATGGCAGTGCATGAGGAGAGGTGCTTCATCCACCCCAGCCTTACAGGTGATCTGTTTCGTCTGGAGTGCTGAACTTCAGAGGGTAAATTCAACTAGCAAAGAATTGGTTTGTTTCTGCATCATATAATTTATGCTAAATAAATGTCTCTCTTAGGTGTAGCAGACTACTCTACAAATTAGAGCAGTATTTTTTGTTAAATAATACAGCACTAACAAAAATATTTAAATTCCCACTGCCTTTTTACCTGAGTCTTTTGAACCTGTTGTGTGTCATTTGTAAGTGATCTGAATATCTCATAGGCATATGCAGGTGATACACAACTCACACACATCCCCAAGTACAATTATCTCATTTATTATTAAACAATTCAGATATGAATGTAATGATAAATCCCAGTCCTGTCCAGCACCAGATCTTGTTTTCCTACTTTGAATCTGATTCCACCTACGTGCTTTGTATAATTCAAACCTAGCTTCAGTTTCAAGTAAATGAAATTTGTCAAGTGATTAGACATAGTACTGCATAATCCTTTAGGGATTTCACAAAAGAAGGTCCACTGATGAGAGATTAAACTCTGAAAGCCATTAGTATATGTGGACAATAGCCCACCTCACTGCAGATTTTGAGTATCTAGTGAACAAAATGTCCTATATATCTTGCCTATAAAACCACCTTGAACCCATAGATCATTCTTCAACACATAGAGCATTGTTTTCTTCTGATTGATGGGTTTCTTTTAAACTGATGGAACTCATGTACAATAAACACCAAAAAAAGTTATCTGTATGCATTAGCAGCTGTGCGAAACAAACTGCATTGCTGAGTGTGCTTATGATGAGTTTATGGTTTCCCTTTTATTTTGGCATGGATGAAAGCACAACATGTAGACCAGTAAATCTGTTACCAAGTCAAGGTGGTTGGTCTGTTGCTTTCATAGAATGCAAGCAAGGGAACTTCCTATCTTAATTTCACTACCATTTCCTAGTTCTTCTGTGGTAATTTTGTGCTTGGGATCTGTTACATAGGTATGTGCATATAACACTTCAAGGCTTTGTTCTTGCCAGTTCTCTCATTTCTGAAAGTGACACGTGGTTTCTCACATTATGCCCTTTATTTCAATTCACTTAAATTCCTGATGTTTCACAGCAAATTAAAAGGCAGAAAGCTGAAACAGTCCCACTGCTAGTTTCAATAGCAAAATAAATAGCCCAGATTCTCCTGCAAATTTACTGCCATGAAGCAGGAGACATATTCAGGTTTGGGGGGCAGATCTTCCAAAGTGCTGAGATTGTTGAGCCCAGTTGGGTTTGTAGATGGGCTCAGTGGGCATCGGTACCTCTCAAATGGCAGGATTTTTCAACAGGGCTCTTTCACCTGCAGCTCTCATGGTGAAAAATAAGCTTTTTCTATGTGTGAAGAAACTTCCAGGAAAATGTTGCTTCTTCATTTTGTGTCCATTTACTGTCTGGACTGGAGCTTCTGCTTTCTATGCCTTACATGCTTCCAATGTTTGCTGCTTCCCCTGAGGTCCCACCTGGACTTAGCGTAATGGCTGTGCTTTAGGAGATGCCCGAGATCCAGTGATTGCAAGGCAACTACCACAGCTTGAAGTGCTATCACACGATCTTTTAACTCTTCCTTCCAGAAAGGAATTGCAAAGTCTAATGAGATAAACCAGCATCTGAAGGGGTTTGGGGGATGTCACAATTGCTAAGACCGAGCAAGAGAAGAGCCTGAGCATTTCACTTTGGTTATTCAGGTTCACACACAGTATGCTTTGCACTGCCAAGTTCTGCATTTAAAGTATCTGCATTTAACTAACAGCAAATTGTATTTTGAAGCGAAGAGTAGTTTTTTTTCCTTTACCAGAATTCTGTTGTATGTGTTTCCAGGTTGGTTTTTTAATGCAAGGACCTCCTCAGTGATGTACTGTAATTGTATAGAATAAATACTTGGAGGAAGTTGGGCTAGGACTACATTTTATCTTTATACAGGGCTCCCTGTATTCAGGAGAATGCTGGAGAGCAATCCTGCCCGAGCAGTTGGGATGAGCAGTGAGATCTGTTCTCAGCTGGAGCACCCAATACAGTTAGATTTGAACGGTGGTGTTGCATAGGTGCCCGTTCTTGTTTCCCATCCCAGTGGCAAGCGTGGGTGTCCAGCTCTTTTGGATTGCAGTGTAGCTGAGACAATTTGCACAAGCTAATGTGCTTTATGAATTAATGAGTTAATTACTGATTGATAGATGAAAATGTTTGATCCCATGTAGATTTTTAAAGTTCATTAACTTATATGTGAATCCCAGTTTTATATTTCAGTGATTATTTGTGTGAGTCCCCTGCCTGATTCAGGCAGTGATACTGCCCAGCTGTATCCACTAATGGATTCAGTGTTTATCAGACATTTGTTTCACTGCATCCAGATGAGTGGCTGCTGCCCTAGTTTTTTTTTTTTTAATTGGAAATGGAACAACACCCATGTTGACAGAGATAAGAAATAAGTCAGCTTTATACAGTGTATCAGCAGCCCTTATCAGAGGAGAACACCATGAGCAAGCTGAAGCAAAATGTTTAACAGATACTTTACAGGGCTGCAGGACAGATTGGATGCATTTTAAAGATGAAGGTTTACAAATTATTACAAATGACAGGGTTTATCTTGCAGGCATTAAATTAAATCAAAACGTGAGGACTAGGCAGGCAGATTTACTGAGGTGGAATAAATAAGAAAAACGAAATGCCGTTTTGCATCAGCAGTGAAGGATCTAGATCCTGATACACATTAACAGAGACAAGAAGTTTCCCTTTTTATTTAACTGGGAGAAATGCTACCAAGTTGCAGAATTCAAAAAAAAGAAATCCCAATAAAACCCAACTGTGGATGACCATGGTGAATTGACCAGTTACACATGAGCGGATGGAAGAAAGCCATTACACCAGGATACAGTTTCCTTCTATGAATGCATACGATGTTCAAATTGCATATGCTGTGCTGGGGAATAATGAAAACCAACCTCGGCAGCTGTGCTAAGGGTTCCTTTTAATTGGCTCTTCCCTACTAATGGTCTCTCCATGAAAGAAGGCCTCATCTGGAGGAATGGCTGTGAGCTCTCTTATTTTCATGGTATATGAAGCAATTAAAAGCAGTTTCCACTTTTAAACTCTTAAATAGACAAGTATATGCTCATCAAAAATAGAAAAAATATACTTCTCTTAAACAGAACTGTACAACTGTGTGTGATAGTATAAATGAAACTGCTAAAGTGCAGCATGAGAAGGGAGTGGATTAATGTGCAGTTTCATTCACTTTTAGCCAAGTTCTTTCTGTGAAATGAGCTTACATTTTGATGCATCACGGATAGATGTATTTTTCATTGCAGCAAATTGGAAAAACTGTCTTCTTTTATATACATATTGTGGTTACTAACCAAAATTTTTCAAATGTACCCCCTTAATGTTAAGCTCACACAGTGATCTCAGAGCTGTCAAGCCATTTAAAGACTTCTAGTATGCTTTATACTACTTCCCATTTCAAGCAGTTGATTGGTGTTTCAGATCCCCTGAAGACAATAACTGCTTGAAGTGTAAGTCCCTGAAGAATATGACTGCAGGAAGAGAAGTCCAGCCCGGGGAGAATCTGGGACACACGATATTCTGGGGATAATAATTTGTCAGGCTTAGTGATTTAGGTTTTAATGAATAGGATTTGATTTCTAAATCAGAGGGGGTTGAAAAACACTTGGGGAACGTACTCATACTGGTCTGAATGACCTCGTGAAAGCAGAAAACCTAGACATATGTGCCACAAGATATGGTAATTGGGGCGGGGGGGGGGAACCCAGATGGCACTGTGCATGCATAATGGACTCCACAGTGGCAGCTAAAGAGGGGAGCAAAGAGGAGGGGAGGCAGTCCTGTTTGGTTACTCTGGCCCTTCCCCGTTTTCTGGCCAGCCTTGCTCCTGATGCAGTATTCATCACCAGATTGCCAATTCATAAATAACTGAAGCACAACCTTGTCTTTGCTTCTGCTAACTGCTTGTCAGCTGTAAGAGATAAATTTCATAACTGTTTGTTTCCTCTAAAACCTATGCCAAAGGCAGCAAGCATGAGGATGTTGGGCACTGGGAATTTTATTATAGGTGTGCAAGGTGCTTCATCCCAGTGAATACTGAACACCACAGTCAGCATCAGTGTGCCTGTGTGGTGTGACATGAAAACTTCAGTTCTGTGGTGGAGGCTACTGTAAGCTACACCTGGGAGTGCACTTAGTGCAGTTAGTTCCTCAAAAAGCAAAAGCTAAAGAAGTAATTTAAACCTATTTCCTTTCCTAACTGCTCGAGGTGCAGAGTTTAATTCATATGTACATGTGCAAGTAGCTGTTATGCCACTGAAGCCTGTGGGGCTTTTGACGTGGTGATTTTTCATGAGTCAGCCTGGAGGGTTCCCAACGAAGTCACCAAAAGATATTCCTCAACTTCAGAGGTTGCCAGGTGTTCAGTAAGGGCTACCAAACAGCCAATGCTTTTTGCAGAGCAGTGGAAAAACTGAGATTCCTTTCAGAGTTTGGACTGGCTGCTTCTTATTGTGAAACGAGAAAAAAAAACCAAAACTAATTAAAGAAATACAACTTCATGGGATATTTACACTTACAGAAGTGATGCTACGAAGTGTGTGCATGCTGTCCCCACAATTCAGGTTTGATGTTTGTCGCACAGCAGACAGTGGTGGGGGAGAAAGGCAGATGCCTGCTCTGACCAAGTGGATTTTGTAGCCACTGCAGGAAAAATCTCAGATTGTGGGTTCAGGCCTGGTAAGATAAAATACTTCCAGTGCCAAGGGTTTGGTCTGGGTCCTGCTGCAGTGTAAGTGAAGAATTTCTCTTTTCCTGGAAGTCTTTGCATCTGTTTCTTTTTAATTTATTTATTTTTAAATTTGAACCTGCTACCAGTGTCCATTAAGTAGCTTCAAAAAGCAGGACACATGCATTTAGGAGTGAGAGGGGAGAAAGTATGTAATACTAGCAAGAAATAACGTTATTTTCCATTTTGTGTCCAATTCAGTTATTGTGGTGTTCCTTTTGATCTCATAAACAGGATTGTTCCTGTGTAAGCAAAAGGAGATGACATCATCCAGAGTGTGCACAGTCGTTTTGGAACAATAGTTCCAACAGATTTTTATTTGGTTATGCTCATAAGGTGTGGAGTTTGCCTTTCCTAAAAGGAAGGGTAAGCTATACAAAACAGAATAATGTTTTGTAGGGTAACCTGTTTGCTGGTTCTTCCGTGAGCCGCAGAGAGGGGAGAAAGACCAAGCCACAGAGTACCCTTTAGAGAGCCATCGATGCCAAGTTAGTGTCCCAAACCCAAAAGACTGTTTTAGTGCTGGAATTTGCTTGCCAGTATAGGAGATAAATTCTTGTTTCAAATCCCTAGATCCAACATTTGGATTCGAGGCCAAGTTTTTTTCTCCTCTTGACACATGAAAATGTGGCTGTAGCAAACTCTTCATTGCACCAGCAGCAAAACCAGGACCTTTCTAGTCCCTCACAGGCCAGAAATTTATAGCACTCCTACTCACCCTGCTCCCCAAAATTTTATCTCTGATCTAGTCGACAGTAGATGGCTTTATCCTCATAACCTTCACTTTCATCACTTGCCCAAATGCTGCTGAATTAGATTTGTTTTGACCAGAGATGACAGCTACTTTCTCATTTAGCCACCTCAGAGTGGGACTCTGGTGCATTTTAGATAAAGATCTGTCTCAACCTGACAGCCTTGACAAAGCCACAGTGGTGCCAAGGGAGGACAGGTAGGTTGAAAAGTGGGTGGATGTTGTTCTGCCAGTAGCCTCTTCCAGGGGGCTTGGAAGGCCTGTGACAGTGAGTGTGTGGGCAGGTCCCGTGTGCTGCTGCGTGTGGCATCTCCTTGCTGAGCTTCGTCTGCCCTCTGAAAAGATGGGGAGAAGGGTCACTGCTCTCCTTCACTGTAAACCTGGGACAAGTCTATTTTGATGATTTTTGGATGTGAGCAAAACCTGTGTGGAATAAAGTCCACAATTTTTATTTTTTTTTTTTTTTTTTTTAATGTAAGAAAGTAAAGGAGCAAACTCATGTGTTTGTCTTACCTCTACACGTGACAATAACCATTTGCCTTGACAGATTTAGACTCTTCAAAAAAAACAGGTAATGTGGTTTTCCATGGTTTTGTCATCCTGTGCTTCTGGAGCAGAATTCTTTGTCATGGACAAAGGTGTGAGAGTGGGTGGGGGGAAGGAATAGAGAGTGCTTCCTTACGTGTTTAATTTAACTCCTAGGTAGAGTTTTAGCAATTCAGCCTTTCTTAACACCTCTGTGAGCATTTCCCTGTCCATCGTCCCTCCCACCCCCTCCCTTGGTTTTTAAGGGTATGTTGTTTCAGTTCTGAAACTGCACTGTGTTTTTCTGGGCTCTTATTTTTAAAGTTAAATGACTGAAAGTACTGAAATAGAACTTGCTGGTGACACTGACTTTTTACCACCTAAAATTGGCAGTGATCACCAGACCAGAAATGGAAATTGGCAGGTACCACTGGATGTACAGGAGTTCAAGGCCACACCAGTACCATCATGTGCCAGCATTGAGAGGCAATATTAGTCCTTTGGGGATTCAAGGTAAATAAAGGGCTGGGTGAAAGGGAAATGGAGAGTTCAGAAATGGTAGTAGCATAAACCTAATGCTTTGCACTAGTCCTAACAGTTTAAGATAAATGTTCTTGTTTTTCTTGTTTTGTATGTTAAGGCTGTAAGGAGTCCAGTTCTCCCATATGAATACTTGGGGTAAATTTGAATTTGGTTGTTAATACTTTAAAGACAATGATGTGTGGATAAGGACATCTCCCTTTCAGCTGTGCTGCCCAATTGCTTCAAAACTGTTTATAGATGAGACAATGTAGTATGGGTTTTGTATTGCAGATAAATCTATCAGATTGGTCAGCCACAAATGCAGTAATTAACAGTAAAGCAGTGACAGCACATCTGACTTACTCATCTCCTACAGTATGCTTCCTAGACAATGTTCCATGGTTTAGTTTCCATTTTTCACTTGCTAGAAGCAGTAAGCACATATGTCAGAGGATAAAGGAGGTTTTCAGCTGAGACTTTAAAAGTGGTTTGGTGATTACACATGCCTGTCCTTCCGTTAGCTGGGTTGAGACCTCAAAAAGACACTGTTTTGTTTTCCTGAAGCTTTACTTTCAAGAGATTGTGGGGAATTTAGAAGCATCTCAGAGATGAACCTGAAATCAAGCACATGATGGATTGCATTGGAAAATTCCAGTCTGAGTGAGGGTTAACTCAGTGAAAGATGTAAATGCTCAGCGATAGCATTTGCAGCTAGCTCTATCCAGCAGTCCTCTTCTCTTTACAGAGCTGATTGAAGCCTGCTTGACAGCTTGTTTGCTGGAGATGCTGCCTCCGCATCAGAGACTTTAGCAGCAACTGCAGGGAATGTTCACCAAAGCTTGCTGCCTAATCCTTCCCTTTCCCATTATATTTTCACACCTGTTTGTTCTTTAGGATTCAAATGTTTGTGTATTTCAGAATAGAGGGGTTTGTTTGTTTGTTTGTTTGTTTTGGGTTGTTTGGGGGGGGGTTTTTTTTGTTTTTTTTTTTTTTTTTTGTTTTTTTTTTTTTGGTTGGTTGGTTGTGTTTTGTTTCATTCAAATACTCACATTGCAAATCATGATCTTATTCTTCAATATCAATGTTCATTTTGGCCATATTTTATGGCAAATTATTTGAGTGACGGACACGGGGCTGCCAGAAGACATTCCCAAACTTCAGATCAGTGCATGTGGGATATTTTATACATGGGAGAAATGCTTCAAGGAGGAGCACCAGATAACGAACGCTACATTTCTGGTCTATGGGGGACACCGAAGGGAGCAGGCCACATGCCTTGCTGTCAGTCTTGTGCCCCTTCAGCTGTCCCCAGTGATGAGACACGTCCGTATGTGCTGGCACAGATTAGCCAGGACACAGAGGAGATGCACAGCCTGCTGTCACAGCATCTGGGAGTCCGGCACTAAAATGGTGCTAGGAACCCTTGTTTAGGCGACTGAGCCCTGTTCAAGCTGCCTTGGGAATCTTTCTTAAATAACATGCAGGTAAATGTGGTGCCTGTCATGAAGGAGTTGAAGATGAAAAGGTTTTTGCTGATGGAGGTAAAAAAAAAACCAAGAAAGCCAAGAAATGCCAGTTCAAGGGAAGGTCCTTTGAATGGCTGCACTTAAAGAAATTAAAATGTTTTTAGGCAGCAATGAAAGTGCTCTGAACGGGTCTTGAATAAGACCAATCTGCCAGTGATGGATTAGCTACAGTGAAAATACTGGTCTTTGCTCCTTTCCTTTAGATTGGAGGGAAAATGCCACTTCAGTCACAACACAAGTCACAGCTGTAACTTGCCTCCCTTCAGTACTGGCACACAGCTCCCCACTGCTGGGTGGTGTTGGCTTCTGCACTGAGCCCTCTGTTTCTCTGACAAGCCACCGTGATTCTTGGGCGCCTTTGCAGTACGGATGTTTCTACTTTGCCTCTTCTGTTAGTGTCTGAATGGGCATGGCTAGGAGAGGACCTCTGTGGCAGCCCTCGTAGCATCCATCTCCTCTCCAAGAGTCTGCATGTATGGTATGATCTCTTTTCCCCATTTTAAGCTTTGAACAGGCACTTGAGCAACAAGGGAAGAGTCAGTGTGGAATATCCACTGTGGTGCTGGAGCCAAGACATCCCCAAAACACCTGCAAGCATAATGAGCTTTCAAAATGCCTTTTTTTTTTTATTCCCCCCAGGAAGCTATGTACCATCTTTTCCTTTAGTAAGAGAAGCTTAGCAATGGTTGTTTAACATGAGCTTAACTCTAGGCATTCTTCCAGGCTGGGTGGGTGTTGTTTGCTTTATGAGTTGTTTGGTTAGTTTTTTTTATTTCTTAACTTGCTTCTCCCAGATGCTGGGAGGTGTTTCATCTGCTTTCGAGCACATAAGGGCATGGAAAAGTGGAGTATCTCACAGAAACAGCCTGCTCCCTTACTGAAGCAAGCTTAAATTTTGAAAATTATGTGTATGGACTCAACTGGAGAGATACCTGCTTGAAAGCTTTTGCAGAGCAAAGAACTTCTGCAGTTGTGTTTCAGGTTTCTTACCACTCCTTTAGTTCCATGGTTGGGAAACCCATAGTTGGGTAAATGTCTGGGAGGATCTTGGCATCTTCAGTTACGTCTGAAATGGAGAATTTACCTTCCAAATCTTAGGTCCACCAGGCTGAAGTCCCCACACACACTGGTTTTGACCCTCAGCTCTAGGGAGAGAGCGTTTGTGTTTCTGTTTGCTTCTTTGTAGCTAGGGAGGAGTCATCTGGTCATAGCAGTGGCAGAAATCCAGTGTGGCAAAAGACTTGCTCTCCTGCTGAGTGCTGAAGGCTGATGGAGAGTGAGGTGAGTTACAGCTGCCAGAAAGGTGGAGCTAAGAGTCTCAACTCCAGTCTTCCAGGTAAGATACTCACCTTTGATTTAAGTCAGTTTTAAAGATCATGTCAGCCAAGTACAGGTGAGCCTGGAGATGATTGAATCAAAGAAACCCAAATGTCCTTACAGAAGGTTTCACAGAGCTGCTGAAGCAGCCCATAGGACTGCAAAGCTTTGGTGCTTTTGTGCTTCCCCCAGTGAGCTTGTCCAGACATTCAGGCGTTTGAATGTCTTTGGAAGTCTGCCCAAGGCTTCATCTGTTTTACCTCTTTGGCTTGAGTTTATCCAAAATGGTCACTCGGGATGACACTTTCTGAAGCAGCAGTTCTTGCATGTTGACCCTAGTGAGTGTTTCTCCAAGAAAGCAAAAGTAGGTGAAGCAAGGGGAGCGAGGTCAGGGTAAAGGCAGAAAGGAGGAATGTCTTAAGGCACATTGAGCAGTGTGTTGTTGATATGTCAGCTGAGAGTTACAGCCACAGTTTGCAAAAGTCCCAAAAAGTTATTTTGAATAGTGAAATGTTAGAACAAGTCCCCAGGAAGAGTAATGCCAAAGCTAATATCAATACTGCTTGAGCTATCCGTTATGTGAGAAGTCTCATCTTAAATCACCATCTTGATACTTTTTCTGACGAATTAGCTTACAGCTGAAAAAAATCCATCCTCAAGGATTCCTGTGTAAACCTGTTTGGAGTAAGGTCTTTTCCAAAGTATAAATTAGGTGACTTCTGATGCAGTTTCCACTGTTTTGTGGGCCAAAACTAAAACAGAGAAGATACAAAACAAAATAACCAAAGTTCTGCCAGACCTCGGTCCAAGAGCAGTGAAGCCGGACAGGAGCAGTTCTCTCATCCCTCGGTCTCCTGGGGGTGTGGCATTCCTCCTGCACACGTCTGACTCCTTGCTCTCATGGAGCAGATGCCTGGGATGGGCACTTCCAAGAGGGATGGATATAGTGACTCATGTTTCATAGATTGCTCTGCCTCAAAGAGATGCCTTCAGAATGGCAGAGGCTGGGACTGATATAGGTGAGGAGTGCATGTATTTCAATAAATTTGAAGAAGATGTCTGTGTCACTTAACAGCATCCAGAAGAGACAGGTCTCGCCTTGGTAAAACAACCTTTTCTACAGTTTGAACATGGTTTTCTTTAGTGAAAGGAAAAAAATTCAGCTTTTGCTCTTGATGAACATTGGTAACCTCTGCAAAGGGGTTCTTTTTTTGTTAATTGTGTTAGAAAAAAAAATGCACTTTCTTGTAAACCTATGCTCACTGTATTTTTTTCTGGAGTACTAGGAACAGCTTGCTATCGTTACTTATACAGTAACACAGAGATATTTGGTGCTTTGTGGATTTAACAAGGGGTCTGCTAATGGTGCTTCCAGGCAGTGAGATGCTTGTTGTTAGTGTGCACCAGTTCTCCTGGTTTGTCTGCACTGCTTCCAGCACAGGAGGCATGAGCAAATATTTTTAGTTCTCTGCCACACAGGAATATGGAAGCATCTAATGTAGTTTAAAGGTGTCAGGCTTAAGGCTGGCCACAGAGAATAAATACCTTCTCAGAAGGGGGGAAGGAACTGTGTGACAGTGCTGAAACCAAGCAGCTCATATATGTATCCAGAGAAGTTGCAATTAATGCTGATAACCTTCAGAAAGGATCTGCTTGTTCTTGGAGTAGCTTTTAAGTAGTAGAGATGTGGATAAGACTTACAGGGTGAGTCAGACTACCACAGATATCACTGCGTTTCACTTGGATGAAACATCTCGTGGTAGCCACTGTGGAGGATGAGAGTGGTGAATCTTGCTGGGTTTCAGGTCTGATCCTTTGTGGCAGCCCTGCTGGCTGTGGTCTCCAAAGGTCACGTCTTCTTCATCACAGATATTATGCTGTTTAGGAAGGAGTATCTATTGGTAACAACTCTGGAAGGGGAGAATGAGAATGCAGGGGGAGATTATCAATCTGGCTAGACTAAAGACATTATGTTTTCTGTCTCCCAAGAAGAGTTCATTTTCAATCTAAGTTAATTTCCAAATTTCTGATTCGGGGAGGACAAAAAGGCAAAATTAGGAAAGGTTGTACTTGAAGTTTTCTATGGAAGAGCTTTAAGATTTTTGTGGGAGGAAAATAAAGGATTTTCACTATTTAGAGTTCATCACT